AAACAAAATAATAATTAGACACTAAAACAAGGAGAAAAGTAAGACTGAATACTCTACATAAACATAACAAAACCAAGACTGTGACATCATCAGGGGAAATAAGATGTCCAGAGCAGCCTCTTGGTCAAACTATGGCTTTCATCTAATGTATTGTTCTACAGGCTCTCTTTACAAACTCTGACTGGTTGTCATGGTTGCGGGTTGTGGGGGCGCAGCCTTCAACAGGACAGGGGTGTTGAAAACCAAAGCAGCTTATCCAGAGAAGGGCTGAATTATGAGATTGGTGGTAAAAGATGTCTGCCTAATCTGAGTGGAATTTTCTTGCACAAATGGCAAAAACATGCTGGGGGACTCATTGCTGATGTGTCTGTTTTTAAATGTAGAATAGTATGGGGAAACGAAGCAGAAATAATAGCTAAGCTTAATTTAGGATTGTTTGACACAAGTTTGAAGTAGATCTATGACTAAATGATAAATAGAATAGGAGCTGATGTTTGGGTGAAATTCACCATTTACTGTATTGCACTCTCTTGTATGCCTGGCTTTACATCTTCAGGTTCTCTTCTGAAGCCTCAGCTGTAACAGTGACACTGAGAGTTGAGTCAGTCTAAAGAAGTTAGCTCTACCTTCTGCATTGAAATACTTTTGCACCTCCACACCTTAGCAACCTTTGAAGTTGAAAGACATGTTTTTGCTCTAAAAAGCTTTCCTGGAGGTTGTGTATTCGTCAGATCTTTTTTTTTTCTATTTAAAGTTTATCATGGACGTAGGAAAGTTTTGCTAGAAGTTCCAAGTCTGTCATGATTGTTAAATTGTTAGTAAAATCCAATCAGTTTATTATTGGTTATGTTGTTGGTTTTGATGAGTGTTGTAATGTGTAGATCAGTAGTAGTAGATCAGATGATGCTATTATATCTGAGGCTATGAAATGAAGACAAATCCACATATATTCATGTTGCCCAGCATTAATTTTTACTTTATGTTGTCAGGTCCTCGTGGGACAGCGACGATGAGGATGATGAGGACAGGCGTGGACGGAGCTGCACTCTGCAGTACCAACATGCAATGGTCAAAGTCCTGACCCATTTCATTGCAGAGTCAGCTGAACAACGAGGTCAGACCGCCTTCATGCTTGGCACTGACTGGCAGGTGGACATCACAGAGCTTGTAGGGGACTTCCTAAAGGTAGAAGACACCCAGATTGCTAAGCTGCTTGACAGGAGGATCCTGGTTGGACAAGACACAGGAATGACTACTATCCAGGTATAAGATGAAGCACCATGAGAATCTTCTGTTCTAATAGAAAATATTTTATTAGTAGTTAGATACCTTTTATTTAACAATTTATTTTGTTATGATAAATATTACTGAAGGGCCATGGGGGATAATTATACCTCCTGAAATTTCATATTTTATTAAACCAAGAACGTCAAACCTCACTGTATTATCCGATTTTATGTGAATGAACAACTCCAAATATTATTTTAAAGCTGAAGGAAATTAAGTCATGGTCCCTTTGTGACACCCTCTGAACCATCTGTGCACATCTGGAAACTGAAATGTTTGCTCATTTCCTTGTGTGAAGTAGCTTAGATTAAGTTTTATTAGCTGAGGAGTGTCTGTGAACCGCAGTTTTAGATTCTTGCATCAAAGGAAATGTGGAAATTTTTCTTTAGCCACATCAGTGGTGTCCAGAGTTAATCCTCAAGAGTCAAAAATGTGCATGGTTTAGATGGTGTCTTGGTTTGATATAGCTGATTGAAGGAATAGTTCATTAGCAGATCTTTGCAGTGCTTGATGACATGCATTAATTCAGCCATTTAAATCAGCTATGATGGAGCAAGAACCATGCAAGAAAGCGATATGTGAGGAGTTAGAAATCTCTAACCTAAGGCATTGTAACGCATCAGCATCCATTCAGCTAAGGTCTTTAACGAATGCAAAACCCCCTGTTGGGGTAACTCCCACAGTGAGGAAATCCAGACATAACTCTCCTGCTCATTTTAGGATATCCAAATGGGTCTCTAAATCTGAAGGGATATTTAGTCAAAGCAGCAAGTTTTGTGGACTCAGTGTGATGTACCTCATAAGAAAATAATGATCAGAGGCCTGAAGCATCTTGACTGAACCCCTTCGGTTTAGAGGAGGTGTAGCTCTGCTTTGCGCTCCCACTGAATAAGGAAGCAAATCTTTCCCGCTGCCAACTGCTCAGTTGTTAAATTTAAAATCCATGGCCTGAAGAAGCCATAAGAATCATATAATTTTCAAAAAAGCAAAGATGAAATCCTAAAGATCCCAAACTAGAAACTTCCTCTTCAGGTATGGTGTGTGATTATGTCCATGAACCCAACAAACAGATTTGGGGACACGAGGCAGTCCTGGCAGAGATTTTTCTACTGCAACCATAACACGGCATTCTTTCACTAACTAAAGTCGGGCCTACGCTGTGCGATTTCTTGCCCTTTTAGGTTTGTTGCCCGATTCTCCAATCATGCGAAAATTTTTCCTGCATCATGTAATATACAGGGGGTAACGAGGGTGATTAGCGTCTCACGACCACCTTGCGATTAGGACTCGTAAGGTCAGGAGAAAATCAAACATGTTTGAAATTCAGTCGGTCCTGGTGAGGTTCGTGGGCAAATCCTGCTACTGAAGCAGAGCATCGGGCATCTACCAAAACCTCACACACTGCGCATGTGCAAACAAGGCAGTTCTTCTACTTCCAAATTGACGAGTCCGACCATCGCTATCTCTCAGCGCTGAGTCCGATGTGTGGGTTTTTGGACGTTTAGTGTGAGCAGTTAGATTGCATTAAAGCGTCGGGCCCTAAGGTCTAAGAACAGACATTTGGAGATGTGAAATTTTAAACCCTGCAGTTTCGTCGTACAGTTTGAGCTGTAGCTGAGTTCAATGATTGAAAGTATCATACAGTGTATGCGCGGCCTTTGGAGTCACTAAAAAAAAAGCTTACAGATTTTAATCCCAGCTGGTATATACTAGTGGTTCATCTCGTTTTAGCCACATCAGGCTGTGGATTCTGCATCTGCAATAGTTTCCTGAACATAGCCTGATCAGGCCCCCATGCATCAGTCATAGGAGGCTTGACAAAGCATCAATGTTTGATGAGTTGGAAGTGAAACTGCCTTGCAAAAGCAATCTACATATTCCTTGTACCTACTTCCAATTTTCAGTAACATGGTTCCTTTTCACTCTTCCTCAAAAAACACTACTTTTGGTCAATCTTTCACACACAACCCTGATAAAAACATTGATGTTATAGGTCACATGGAAGAAATTTGGAAAAATTTAGAAGGTATAATTACCTTTGCAAGGCACATCATGCAAGAACTTGGGGACTCAAAGAAATGCTATTATGTTACTATGAATGTAGATTATGATATAGTTATAAAAAAAAAAATTTAAATGATTTTTTTTTTCCATTAATATTTTTTCTTTAAAATCATCAATTTTAACAATTTGAATTTTTCAAGAAGTGTTATAGGTGCTTTAGGGCTAACTCGATTTTTGTTCCACTCTATTGGTTTTCTGCTAAATTTTTCTGATGTAAATTTGATTTATTGTAAATAAAAAGTGATTTTCACTGTGTGGCCTTATCTGTTAATGAACTCACCATAAAACGGAGTCCACCTTTTATGATTCACATCCTTATGCACAGAGTAAAGCTCTCAATATGCCCCCAGGCAGAAAATAAGATAATTATATAACCTTCAGTTGTATTTGTGTTTAAAAAGGTTAAATATGAGTAATGTTCTGAAAGAACATGATCACATTGTTTTTCAGAAAGACAAAACAAGTAGCACAGACTGCTGTATTTGATTAGTACGTCCTTTAGTTCGGAGTAGACAGCTGCTCACTGGTGTGTCACAGACTTTAAGCCGTTAGTGGACCATAGGGCTTTTCAGTTGTTCACTCTGACTGAATAAATATCAGTCTCCTAATGAAATCTGCAAAAGCAGTCTTCTGTTTGGCGTAGTGGAGGGCAGACATTCGTTCAACTCCATAAACTCTCGCACAGTCTCACAAAACAATCAAAAACTTGAAAGTGTGGGGAACGCAAAGGTGTGACAGCTGTGATTACCTATGACAGCCTTCCTGTCGCCTGACAAACGCGGTGACATTTACACGCATATGTATGCACCGTGCAAGAGTCACAGCTCAACAAAAGGTTCTACTTACACTCCCTTTTATTGTCTTAGATTGAAATGTTTTTGTTGTTCAGAAAAATTCAGAGGTACTTCCACCACTTAGACACCAGTCCATAAATTTGTGATCAACCCAGCTGAAGAAAACAGAAAAAGCTGCCTTTTCAGATATTGTATGAAGTTAGATACCTTGGCTTCTTTTTATTTAAGATGAAAAAATAGAAAAGAAAGAAATATACATATAAATAAGCTTCAACTCCTAATGAGTCACTTTCCTTTAAAGTAAAATGCTTAATGGTATAAATATTTTTGCAAAACTCTTGCCAGAAACTTCTTGTCAGTCAGACAATGTGACCAACAGTGATTTATATCTGGCTATATTTTACCTTGATGAACTTTGGAAATGAATTCCTCTTTAACTTTGTTGTTATTTGTTCGTCATGCTGTTTATTTCTCTTGGGGAAGACTGAGTGTTTAGACAGGAAATGAAAAAACTGTCATCAGCAGACTACAAAGTGATTAAAGTGCTAGTGAGAAGCATAACAGTAGTTATTTATGTTGCAGTGGCACAGGTTAGTGCTTTGCAGTCATCCATTTAAAAAAAATAATAAGTAAACTTAATTTAAGAAGCACTTTTTCCCAGGTCACGGCCATTTAATGCTTTACAAGTAAAACTAGAAAAAAAAAAAAGATTAAGTCATTATACTTGTACTTGAGACAATGTGATGGGTGAATTTCTCCACTGTGAGATCAAAAAAGTAAATCAATCAACAAGTAATGTCCTGCACAAAGCAGACTATCACGTTTTTAACTACTTTCTTAAAGGGTCAACACAATCAACACATTAAAATATAAAGGCCAAGTTTTCAAAGATTTACATAAGTTATCTGTCTCTTTGCCTCTACTTATTCAAGAAGCTTTGACATAAATAGGACTGTAAATGTTCAGGGAAAAATTATTAAAAATTTCTGGCATTTAAGGCCACTAACAGTGAAAACTGTTTTTAAAAAGCAATGGAGAGTGAATGGCTTTTGGACTGGAGGATATTTTCATTTTATTAAATAAATGTAAAATTTCCGTCACAGAGAGTGGAGAGCCAGAAACAATGTTAAGACACAGTCATGTAGTTAGCGTTGTGAATTTAAAATGTATTAAGTTTCAACAGGCAACCTACCATAGGACAGTCTTTTTTGATTGGCAAATTAATTAATTAATCTTACTTAAATCCACAGTTTTTTAGTTTTGTTATTTAGTTTTAGGAATAGTTTTTATTGGTACCACTATGTTAAGAGTATCTAAATACAGGGCATTCAAACAAAGTGTAGCAACATCAATGTTAGCACACTACATCAGCTAAGATCATGAGTGATTGCTTCTTAAAGTCGTAGGGTAATCGTATTTAAGTGTCAAATCATTCAGGCTTAAACATGTATATAAATGTAATCTTTATCAGACCATATTGTCCCAAAATTTAGAAAATTTCTATTTTAAAAATAAAATCCTGTCTTATAATCTGTGTTTATTCTTTCGTTATATTATGCAGGCCAGTTAATTATACATCAGCTTGTACACCTAAATTCGGCCAATCATATATCAACGGTCGTCTGTCAATCAAATGTTTTCAGTCATAGCATCTTGATTCATATGTTGCAGCTAATATACGCAACGGTTGAAGTAATAAATAGGAATAATTTCCTTTCCCATTGAGTTCCGTCCCAGTGTTCACGGGGATGGACGTCTGTGTCTTCAGCAGGCGTAGAGCTAACAGAACTGGCAGCGTTGCGAGGCAAGGGCTCAAACATGTACGGCTGGAAGCCTTCTACACCAAACCAAGCTTCTGCCGCCCTGGCGTCCTCTTCCACAACAACTTCGTCCCCGCTTTCCTCCTCTAAATAAAAAATGGATGACGGAGGAGACTCATTCACGACCTCCGACCCCAAACTCTCCTCCTCTTACATGTTTCTGCTGTCCATAGCGTTCCTTGATAGTGTTGTTTCTAAGTCACCAATTTAGTGCTACTTGGTCCCAATGTCATTTCCCATTGGGAACCTACTTGCACTAAGTTTCTAGCTGTTTAGCAAGATGCTTCCGACAAACCGGCCAAAAACCAGACGAAAATCCCGTCCTCCTAATAATCGACCAATCAAATTCAATTTATGTGCTCGTGTAAAGTCAAGCACCACTCGGGAGAATTCCAAGCTGCGACGATTGGAACAGCTGTTTCCCTGCGACTTCAAAGCTGTACAGCTTTCTAAGTTTTGTTGAATATCTGTCCAAAGAAAAGCTGAGGGTCAAAAATTCCCAGCAAAGATCCTTTGAATAAACATTATTAACACAAAAATGTGTGATGTTTAGGGAAAAGATTCAAAGAATTTAACTTCTGAGTGTGTTACTGCAGGGATGTTGAAAGAACAGAGTCAGCATTGATAAATAACCAGTTGCTTTGTCACAGCTAGCGTTGTAAAAGAAGAATGTTAACATTCCCAGTTAAGTTTAAAATTATAGAAAAGAAGTTAATAGAATGTAAATACGCGTGGATGTTATGTTATTTTTACTTTTTTCTTATCTTATTGTGTTGTGACTGTCACTATGGGTAAAGCTGCTGCTACACTGCAATTTCCCAGCTTGGGATAAATAAAGTACATCTATCTATCTATCTATTAAATGGTTAGCACAGAATTAATACTGTCAATCATTTTATATTACTGGGTTGGTCTCTTTGGTAGAGCTCTGTCTGGTTGTGTTTTATGTAAAGAGCATGGATTTCTTTATGTGTGTGCATAACTTTACGTCAGTGATTCCCAAACCAGGGTACTCGAACTCCTAGTGGTCTATGAGTGCATTGCAAGGGATATAGGAAAATATTTTATCAGATTAGATTAGATGAGCTTTATTGATCTCACAGCGGAGAAATTCACTGGTCACATATTGGCATAGCAGTTAAAGAAGGTGCAAACAAGGAGAAAAAAGGTGCATTAAGAATAAACAATAAATATACAGTATATCAAGATAAATAAGGATTAAGGTGCAAGTGTACATGTATCACGCACAATGAAAAACAAAATAAAAATAAGAAATAAACTAAAAAATACAAGGGAATAGCACAGAGATTTGAGGTGTCATATGTACAATCCGGATTGCTTATAAACAGGTGGATTTACTTTTACATTAAAGTGTAGTAGGTGAGGAGCAACTGTGAGGTAGTGGTATGACTATTCTATTCACATATACTGCACAGTCAGCATATTGCACTGCATATTGCACAGTCAATAAATAAAAAAATATAATATAGCTGCACAGTGGTTTTTATAGGAGTTATTGTGGTTATAGTGCAGTATTATAGAGTCTGGTGGCAGCAGGAATGAATGACCTGCGGTAGCGCTCCTGCTTAAAGATTACAGATACCCTTTTTTTTAGGTAGTAAAATTAAAAAGGGCTGGGATCTCTTTTGCTTCGTGAGGACCAACCTGAAAAATTGAACAAGCTTTTATGAACCAAAAAGTAAGCTTTTCTTATGCGTTTGGGTTCACCTTCAGCTGTAACACGCATCAAAACAAAGCAGAGGAACAGATTGGTGTTGGGATCTGGAGATTCTCCACCTTCTCCAGCAGAGTGCGCTGTGCATCTCCTGGGCTGGAGCCCTACAGCACAGCTGACGTTCATCAGCCCATCGGGAGACCTGCCTATATAATCAGCAGCCAGACCTTCCTTCAACGCCGCAGTGTTGACCAAGTTTGGAAACCTGTCTCCCGTCTGAAGCTCTGGATGAGCTTAACCTGTTACCTGCCTGCCTGCCCTAGAGAGCCAAACCTGAAGATCTCACTCTGGAATCCACCTGCTTAAGGAGGATTAACAGGAAAGAGCTAATCCCTCAAACCAAGGTCTGTCACTAGAAAGTCAGAAGCTAGACGCTGCTGCTGCTGAGCACTCTGCTGAACCAACAGTCTCTGGACCCAACCGGTTCCCTCTCTCAGAAAAGAAAGCCTGGACCTCTTCAAGACGCCTGAGAGTCCGGCCCGGACCAGTTTCCAGAATCCAGTTCATGTTATCTCTGTGCAAACCTTTAATAAACTCTGTTGAACTTTTTATCAGTCTCCAAGTGGTGTTCTGCATGTGGGTTTGATTTCTAAACCAACCATGACAATTGGATGTAGAGAACAGCCTGGGATCAACTGTTTTTCACACTGAGCTATCAAAGGTCATCAAAGAAGCTCAGGCGTCTTGATGAACACAAAGTAATAATCCTTCAGTCAGTCTGACTATGATTTTTATTCTGTATTTTGTTCCCAATTTATTAAGTTTAAATGTGATTGTAAGGGAGTTACTCAGAGAAGCTCCAGTTTTATAAATACTTTTTTATAATATCATTTATTTTGTATTTATTTCGATTCCTTACCAACATCCAGCTAACATATTCATGTTTTTTTTTTTTTTTTGGAGATTTTTAAGAATGCAATGCTCATGTTAAAAGGTTTACTAGTAATAAAGTAATTAAGTAAAATGTTTTTTTTTATTTTATAATAAGTTATTTTACATTGCACTTTAGGATAATCATCAATACCTTGATGACTGAGGGGGGTACTCATGGTAAGACAAAATGTCAAAAAAGGTTTGGAAACACTGATTCACATTACATGCTGGGTTTAATCTTGGGGTCCCTTCTGTTTAAAATTGCTTACACAGTGACATGGAAATGAAAACATTTTTACTTGTTTTTTTGTTTGTTTTTTTTAACCACATCTATAACCTTTTTAAAGATCTGTTTGTTACTTTGATTTTGCCACCAGGTTTTGTCCCCACTGTCAGACTCCATCCTGGCTGAGAAAACAGTAACAGTGGTAGATGACAAAGTGACCATCACAGAGCTCGGCGTGCAGCTGGTGACGGGACTGACTATGGGGCTGCAGTTAAGTCCAGGGAGCAACAGGGCCATTATTGCCAGCACCAGCACACAAGACATTCTGCAGAACCCCAAACAGGTCAGAATTGGTTATATTTATCAATGAAATCAGTAGATTCATTAAAGGAAAAAATCAAATACAATTTATATGATAATTTTTTAATAAATTCCAAATTCTTTAATTAGATATTTAGTAAAGTATAATTGTTTTCGCTGTGTTTGTAGCACTTTTAGTAACAGGAAATTAAATGGGGTGTTTGTATTGGTTAGCTGTTAGATAATTGAGATAATTTTGAAAGATAATACATGCAGGTTATATGTTAATGGGAATAATCATTGCGTCTTTTTAAAAGTGGAAAGAGAGCCGTAATGACCTGTTCTTCTCTTTGTTAGCTGCTGGTGTTCAGCTCAATTTACTGCTGATTTTGATGCCTTACATTAAAACCAAACAGATGTAATTGCACACCGTTTAGGCAGGTGTGATTACCACTGAGAATGGTGTTAATTTAACACAGTAGTCTCTATCCTTAATGTGCTTAAAATTGCACGTTTAATCAGACATTTGGAAAATGAACTTTAGAAAGAAAAAGGTATTCATCAGGCTAAATAAAAATGAGCACATTTTGCAGCCTGCATTTCCTCAAAAAGGTTTATGTGTTCTTCTCTACCTCCAGGACTCTGAAGAGTTTTGAGAGCCACAGTGTGACAGACATGTTTTTGGGTTGCAGCTAAAAGAGGAAACTTAATCTAAATAAAATGCAAGTGTGAAATCACAGCCGCTGTATGAAAATATGACTTATATTCAAAGTGCTGCTGTTCTATCAAACTTTCAGTCTTGCTACAGTAATTTGGTAGGGCATCTTGAATAGTGGCCTCTTTGATCCACCAAGCCCCCTCATGCATTCTCTGTGCTGCTTCTTGCCACTTTCCTCTGCTTTCTTTCTTTTGCAGAAGAGACAGGAACGGAGCAGGCATTTATCTCTACATCGCCTTATTCACAGTGTGAGGATAAGCAGGCAGTGGAGCAGTGTTAGTCCTCTGGTGGCAGTAATTAGGAGACATTTGCAGACCATGGTGGCGGGATACTTGTTCCCCTCTTGGGATTTGTCCTTCAGCAACATTAAACAGGCAGTTGTTAGGCTTCAGCACAAGGCGGCTTTAAGAACAAATATATAGCAAATCCTTATTGGCATGAACAATGTTTGATGTAACCCTTTAATCTCTTCTTTCCTTTCCCTTAATCTGTTTCCTTTTTAACTTTGAGAGAATTGCCTCAGAGTTTGCCAACTATATCTTAGCAAGTGTTAATTCAAGCAAAAAATCCAATCAATGTTCTTAAACAATATCTGGTCCTCCGTCCATCTGTCCGTTCATTCATTCATTCTTTTATTCTTTTATTCATCCTTCTCTTCATCTTTTCCTCCATGTATCTGTTCCATCCTGCTGTTTGTCTTTCCATTCATCCATCCATTCATCCATCCATCAAAAAAAATCATTTGTTTTCCTGTTTTTTGTACCATTGTTATGTATTGAGTTACTTGCTTTTGCTGCTGCCTCTTGCCTATGGTCAGCTTCCTTCCTTCTTCTTCCTTCTTCTTCTGTAAAGGGTTTTATTTTTTCGCAAAGATCTGAGGCGTTCTAACCTGCAGAGGGAGCTAACGTGTGCTAACACGATCTGTTGCGATGTTTTTTTTTACGATATATAGTTAAAGTAATAGACAAGTGTTATATTCATGATCTTCTTTCTGTTTGTGTTTCATTAGGAGGCCTTGATCAGCGCCTGGCTCCAGTTTAGCGACGGTTCTCAGGCTCCACTGGATCTCTACGATCCTGACTTCTTTGTGCTGACAGCCACGTCCCTAGATAAGGAAGTGGTCACTGTGCAGCAGGACCCCTCGTGGAAATGGCCTGTCATTGTGACAGAGGCTGAGGGTCAAGGTTTGCTCATCAGGGTGGAAATGACTGTCAGCGAAGTTTGCCAGAAGTTCAAGCGCCGCAGCATCCTGGCTGCAGGAAACTATAATGTCATGGTTAAATTTGGTCCTGGTGACAGCTCAAGGGGTGGGAGCAACGACTATGGCCCAGATGGAGACGACATGGAGAACAGAGGCAGGCTCTCATCACAGGACAGGACTGGCCTTGATACCCACTACTATGGCAGCTCCATCTCTGACATTGAGGATGGAGTGTCAGGGAGAGCTACCACGACTAGAAGTGCTATAATCCGCAGACCTAAACTTTCAGGAGGTGGTCAAAACATGCCAATTGACTTTGCAGACTTTCCTGCACAAGTAGATCTGCCTCACGGCCGTAATACAGATGATGACCTCATGCACAGCAGTCGAGGACTCACAGACCTGGAGATTGGCATGTATGCCTTGCTTGGCGTCTTCTGCCTTGCCATCCTAGTCTTTCTCATTAATTGCGTGTCATACACTCTCAAATACCGCCACAAGGAGCTCTCCATTGAGGGCCAGGAGAACTTGAACCATGCCCACGACTGGGTGTGGCTCGGGAACGAGGCGGAGCTGCTGGAGAGCCAGATCAGCCTGTCACCTCAGCAGGAGGAGCAAACCTCCATGATAGACTCGAGCAGTGGCCTGGAGGAGGGCAGCCACCTGCTGAATGGTGGCTCCATGCAGAAGAACGTGCAAGGACAGGTCCACCGGGCCGCCGACACAGCAAAGGACGGCAAAGGAGACTCCCCCACCACAAAGAGGAAAAGAGTCAAGTTCACCACGTTTACCACTCTTTGTTCAGACGATAGCCGCCCAGCTGTTAATACACTTACAGGAAGTCACAGCCAGGACATCAAGTGGGTGTGCCAGGACGTTCAGCTGGGAGACTCAAAGGAATTGCGTAATTACATGGAAAGGTTAAATGACAGTGCTCTAAAAGAGGTGGCATAATCTACTGTGTGCACTTGTTGTGAACTCACCTTTTTGCCTTTCAGAGAAAATTGGGTCTAAACAGACCCGTGTCTGGGGAAAGAGGAAGAAATTAAACCACAGAATCACCTCAAACTGCCAAAGGGTCATCAAATATAGGAGGACGGCCGTGGATCCACATATTAAAGAAACAAAAACAAACAGAAGGTGATCAGGTGGATTTAGTCTTTCAGATGATAATCTTTTTTTTGTTGTTGTTTGTTAATCCAGGGATTAGAATTCGATAACCCAGGATTGATGTGACATTTCAGAGACAGATTTTTAAAACAAACGCTACCCAAGAAACATAGATGTTCGGAACTTGTGTGTACATCAAAATCAATTGAAAAGTTTCGTAATTCTTTGGATACTTATTTCATAAAACATATCCCAGATTATTGGAGGAGTCTCTGGACGAAAGCAAGCTGAGACGAGCTTCTGCATGTTGCTGGTAACAAAAAAAAAGGCACAAATTCCCAATTTTTTCTTATCCTCCTCGGTAAGGAAGAAATCTTATGTACAAACTGTACATTCTCTAAATCATTGTATTGTTGCTCTGTATATCGTATTTTCATAACAATTAAGGAATACACAATAATGTCAAAACTGTACATCTGCCTTTTTTAATCGATTTTCGGTCATGACAGAGGCAAATTTTTTTTTCTTAAAAAAAATAACAAATACAGTCCTTTAAACTGCCAAACTGACCACTGGAAACAAAGAGTTTCCAAACTCACATCATTCAAAACACATAAAAAAAAATACAAGGTTTCACAATGTGTCAATGGGATGATTTACAGTACACATGGCATTGTTAGTTTCTGAAACTTTCAAGATTTATAAATGACTGAGGGATTTTTTTACATTTATTTTTTATGGTACTTAAGGTAATGTGAATTTCTAAGAAATATCAACTGTACAGACGGTTCTAGACAGGGGCCAAAAGAGGCAGTGTCCCTTTAGAACTAGTCCTGGCGTTTTTATGGCCTCTAGACTGAGGACAAGATATTAAACCAGTTTCTTATGATGATGCAGTAGCTATTGAAAAAGGCCTTTCTAAGTCAAACACAGAATGGCAGCCCACTTCCCTCCAACTCCCAGCGAAATCCCCTCAAACTTCCAGCCACTGGAGTGACCCTGTCTTGCAGGATTTTTTAATCTGACTCCACCCTTTCACTGAATTACAGAGTCTGACCAGGTTTTTAGTACAAATATTGATGTTTAAAGAGGAATTGTAGGGGACCAACCAAGGGCCCATCAAGAAAAGTTGGGAAATTTTGAATGGCTACTACTGTTTATGTTTGGCAAGGAAACCTTAACTTAATTGTCCCTGACACAAATGTAAGTTTTTACCATACTTAGTTTAACTTTTATTTAAAAATGAAGGTGCTGTAGGCCTAGCTTCAGCCATACTGAGATAGAATGATAGCATTCATCTGCTGAATCAGTGGTCTGCAACCTAGAGCTCCAAAGCCACAAACAGCTTTTTGGCTTACTTGATTAAAAAATCAATTAGTGCCCATTTTATTTGCTTGTTTATTTTGCCCTGTGCCCCCTTGAAAAAACCCTGGACCCAACCAGCCACCCAGCCCCCACAATAACATTTGGTTTAAAACCTTCATTGATCAACAAAAAGAATAAGATTTTAACCTAAAATGTCTTTGTTTCTGCTCATTTGACCAATACATGTTTTTAAATTGGGACAAGAGCAGATATCTATGGCTGTGATATATGATGATATCTATGGTTTTGTAATGCTTGGACAGGCATTAGAAAACAGGAGTGAAACAGGTTGAGATCAAAAGGTCAAAACAAGGAATACTTCATGGTACCCTCATATGAACAGCTTTCAAGAATCTGCTGGTTTTCCTCTGCTAGAGCGATTAATATATAGTGCTTTCCTCAAGTGCAATTGGAGTTGCTACAGGTGCAACCACTCAGACCTGATTGCTAGTGCAGCAGAGGGATCAGGGAGTGACAGGTCACAGGTCTCAACACAGAAGCTGCTCAGGCAGAAACAGACAGGAATCATTGAGGTTCACAGGAAGAGGATAATCCATCCATTGTCTATACCCACTGGTCCATCAGGGTCATGGGAGGGGGGCAGAAACCTAAACATTTCGAGACACCAATCAGCCCAACAGTCTTGTCTTTTGGATTGTGGGAAGCAAGAATATCCAGAGAAAAACTACACATGCAAAGTGAGGACATGCATATGGGGCAACAGTGGTGTCAGATGCAGCAGTTTGCCCTGCAGCCAAAGGGTCATCGGTTTAAATTCCAGTTCCAGCTCTCAATATCATTGTGTCTTCACAAATATTGCCTAATGATGGTGGGCAGAGGGCCCAGTGGATCCTGAGTATTGCAGTCCTGCTTCTCTCTGACCCCAGGGCATCTGTGGCTACTAATATAGCTTGTAGTGTAAAGCACTTTCATCAAGTTTCCTGACTTAAAAAAAAGAGGTATACAAGTACAGGCCATTTACCATTCACACGCAAACCCCTTGCAGAAGGAGAAACACCTTTTTCATTTTTAACCCTCTTAAAAAGATTAATAATTAGTGTTGAGGTTTTACCCTTTTTGGTCTACTTCTAGTTGGCTCTAATGTTTGAAACATTGATCATGCTCCCTTTATGTGTTTTCACTGATAGAATAAAGGTTTTACAAATCTTTCGCGGTACTTTCAAGTACCATTGTATCATTGAAAAATGATCAGGCTCAGTTTTGGCCACTTAAATGTTTTAGATTTTGATCTTGTCTGCACAGTTGCAGACCAGATATATATATAATATTTAAACAGTGAAATAGCATTTCAGTTGGGAAATATTAGGGAGTTGTGAAGTAAATGTCAAAGTCAGCATTGTAGCAAATGTCTTAGTTTGTTTTAACATCTGCCTGTTACTGACAAACCACTCAGTTTGACTGTCTACAGAAAAACATAATTCTGTCTTTCACTTAAAGTAAGACAAACACTTCTCTCAAATCCTATACACAATGTAAAAAGACAAAAACAAGTGCGATGCACTTCACATAACAATTCATGTCCCAGACTGAGGTAAAAACGTGGATATTGTGAAAAACAAAACCCTGAAGGAATCATTTCAAGGTTGGGGGAATGTTTTTTTTTGTTTTTTTTTTTTCATTCTGCTAATTGCCCAAATAATAATAAGCATTTTAAAACCTCCTAAACAAAGCCATTCAACTGATAAATTGTGTTTTTTCAGTGCATGTTATTATCTTCCCAGTAGGGCATAGTGCTTGGGTTTATTTTTCATTAGGTAGAAAATTCACATAATGTGCTGATGCTCATTGGATCTTGTTCTTAATCCTCAAAACTTTAAATATTACTTCAAAAGAAGAGAGGGAGCCATACATGAGCATACTTATTGTGTATACGTACAATTACCTAAGATAAACCTCAATTGGATTATTAAGATATGATCTCACAACTTGCCTCATGTTTTCCATTAATTTCACAAATCTGACATGATTCCATATCAGCTGCCCATCTGACACAGTCAATAAAACTGATATCAAATCACAAAAAAACTAAATGTAAATTAAAAATTTTATTTTTAAGCTCTTAAAGGAATCGGAGATTTAAAATAAAACGGTTTTCTCCTAATTATAAAGAAAAAAAATAAAGAATATAAAAAATAAAGGCCTTTATTAGATATAATGATCTTGATCTATGATTTCATTTTTGATCAATGCAACTGAACTGTGTTGAACAGTAAGAGCCCAATGCTCCACAAAACCCAGGATAGCTTTACCAGTTATATACCGAAAAACCACATCTGAGGCATTTATTTAAGGCAAAGAGAGGTATCATTGTTATCTATATAAAGTCAGTAAAGTTATTTTAAGTCAACAACCGACAAAATGATGTAAATACCCTGGTTTGTTGGACAGAGGAAGAATAACGTGATGCAAAGTCATGTTGGCTGTTAGTGAAGAAGTTCTGTATGGTGCCTTTTGCAGAACAAAAGTGGGTGAGCAATAATAGTACATAATCCAGAAGGTAAAAACACTGAAGTAAGTTTTTCACCTATATGAACAGACTATGTGAAAATATTTATGCCCCTTCCAGCACATTGCCTTGAATGTAGTTCATTACCATACTTTCTCCAAGCTAAATATAAGCAAACAATGTAATAAATAAGGACAAAAATGCAGAAGATTGTTTGTGAACTATACAGTACATGCACAACTCCATAGCCAAATATTTAGTTTTTTTTTTAAAGCTGATAAGTTCTGAAGAAACCAAAAATACAAAAAATACTTCAAAAATCTGTCTGAGCTGTTACACTGAGTCTAAGGCCTATTTCCTATAACAGATTTTCACCACGTAAATTATTTAATAAATTAACCAAATTTCTCAGTTTTTTCTCATCTGCTAAATAAAATGCCAGATTTATTCTTTCTTATTATTTTTTATATTTCAACTGAGGTAGTACAACCTCCTTTAGTGTACCAGCACAAAACCTAGAGTGTATGCACAATTTTGAGGTGTGTGTGCGCTTCTCCTTAGGAAGGAACCTGGAAGCACTGTACTAAGTAAAGCTAGTTTTAGACCACTTTTCTGTTGGTAGACATTGTGAGATATTTCTGTGCATGAAACTTTCAAGCACTTAAACAATGGCATCTAACAAGCTTTGTTTGTTTGCTTTTTTCAAAAAAGGCTGAAGAAAATCTGATTTTCTCTAAATATGTAAGGTTATTTAGATTGTGGATCGGAATAGTTAATTAAGAAAGTTAACTTTCACAGCCAGAACAAGGTCTGTTGACCTGTACACACTCACTGGATAAATTAACAGTATGGCAGGATTGCTTCCGGTGACCCGACATCTACTCCCAGCTAATTGAAAAACTGAGTGTCCAGTAAAACTGAGGGGAATCTGAAGGTCAATGTAGCTGTGTCAAAGCCAGAAAAATACCACGTAGGAGGCCTGGCTCATTGTAAACAAAAGAAACAGCTGTAATTTGATGGCAGACTCCACTTGCATGGCTGGATGGGTAATATTGATACACCCAACCATGATCCACACCAATGAAACACAATATTTTATTTACCTCGCCTCACCTGGTGTCAAGAGAGAACTGCTTAAATGAGAATGTTTGATTATTGTTTCTGTCCAGTTCATTCATTTTACTTCATTCAACCACAGCTGACATCTTTTTTTTTTCCAGCAGTATTAACTACAGAAGACCTGAAATGCAAGATTTAAAAAAAAAAAAAATTCAAAATTTTGTTTTCTATAATTTTTTTCTCTTGCCTTTCAGGGCAGAAAAAAAAAATCAAACTTTTCTTTTCCAGACTTTTTTTTTTAAATTTTTTGCCTTTTCAGGGCTTCCATAGTCAGCAGGTATATGAGAGCATTTCAATTTGTATTCTTCAATTCTGCTCCCCAGTAACAAAACAAGACAAAATTTTAGGCTCCTCGTGTCACCCACTGAGCTCTATTTATTCACTGGATTACTGATAGGCCGAAAAAACTGTAGTCACCTGCCGCCATCTTGGTACTCCCCACTCTAACAGAGTCCTGCCATAATGCCTGTAATGTATTGTATTTACAATAACAATGTAATCAATTAAATATTACATGTACATCATCAATTTAGCACTTTTGGCACATC